AAAAAAAAAAAAAAAAAAAGATAACTGGTAGACATGTTTTAAAGGTGTATTTCTTTTTCCAAAAATTTAGAAAATATGAGGGTAGCCTTATGTAATGGTATGTTAGGAATGAATGAGAGCTAGCAGCCAGTGTATGCTGTGGATACCTAATATTCCATTTAGCACTTACATTTTTTTCAGAAGGTAAATTTTGTGTTGATTACAGGGGTGATACAAGAACTGATGTTCAATTACTTATTGGTAACAAAATTGGTAATCATTGTACCTTAATTGACTAAATGATTAGCAACCGTCTTTTTACTTACTTGTGTTTTGTTTTGTTTTGTTTTGTTTTTGATGTCTTTTGTATCTTGGACTTGGATTCCTATTTGTAAAATGTAGGTTATTGTTGAACTCCCTTTCTTTCACAAGACAGTTGTATAAATCCCTATGGAATATCTTAGTATCCTTAAAAAAGCATGATTTTAAATTTAACCTGTTCATAATATTTAACATTTTGTTTTTTTCTGTTGTCGTTTTAAACATTTTATTATGGGAAAGTTGAAGTATATACAAAAGTAGACATTATAATGATTCCCGTAACGCCACATCCAATTTCAACAATTACCAGCTCATAGTATCATATTATTTATATTACACTCACTTCCGCCCCTTCTTTTTTGGTGAGACAGGAGTGCAATGGTAAGATCTTAGCTCACTACAACCTTGGTCTCCCTGGTTCAAGTGATTCTTGTGCCTCAGCCTCCTGAGTAGCTGGGATTATAGGCATGCATCACCATGCCTGCCTAATTATTGTATTTTCAGTAGAGATGGGGTTTCGCTAGGCTGGTCTCGAACTCCTGGCCTCAAGCCTTCTACTCACCTTGGCCTCCCAAAGTGCTGGGACTACAGGCATGAGCTGTTGGACCTGGCTCTCTCCCTATATTTTGATGTAGATCCCATATACATCATTTCATCTGTAAGCATTTTAACAAGTATTTTAATAAATATTTTAAGGTAGCAAATTCAAAAATGTTTTTAATGTGGTATTTTTGGAAGTTTATGAATTAATTATGGTTGGCTTGATTTCCATGTAATTTAATAGTGGACCTGTAGACAGTAGAAGTAAAATGTAAAATTTGAGATTATAACCTTAGTTAAGTTTCTTATCTTTTTATAAAATGAAGCCTTAGTTTCTATAACTCTTATTTCCAGAGTGCCCAGTGGGTATCTGATACTAGGATATAGGTCATAGGGCTCCAAAAAAAAAAAAATGTTTATCATGAAGCTTGTGTTTTTTTCATCTTAATATTTTTTACAAAAGGAGGTAGATAATTTTTTTGGAAAAGCTGACGTTCATCTTTTGTTTCTTGTTGCCGTTTCCTCCTGATTTTAGAAGTAAAAATATTAAAAAGTATAAAGAAGGAAGTAAAATGATCTATAATCCTGTGACATTCCAGACTATCATTATACACATACATTATTTCCCTATTTTGTACTTTTAGATCTTAATGAGTATAGATAAAAAGGAAACAAGTTTTTGTTTATTCCTCTATTCTTACAGATACTGTGGATGGTAGGGAAGAAAAGCCTGCTTCTGATTCTTCTGGAAAACAGTCTACTCAGGTTATGGCAGCAAGTATGTCAGCTTTTGATCCTTTAAAAAACCAAGATGAAATCAATAAAAATGTTATGTCAGCGTTTGGCTTAACGGATGATCAGGTTTCAGGTAAGTTAGTTTCTACCTGTTTTACATCTTTCATTTTCTTAATCTTTTCTTCCTTGTCTTTCCTTCGTTCTTAATTGAAGAATAACTTGGATATGGTGAAGTGCACAAATGTTAAGGGTCCTGGTCAACAGATTTTTACATATGTGTACACTTACATAAATCACTAACTAGATTTAAGTGTAGATGATTTCCAGCACGACAGAAAGCTTTCTTATGTCTTCTCCCCATCAGTAGCACCCTCCCCCTTAAAGAATAACCAGTGTTTGATTCAAATATATTTTTGAAAGTAAAATTTAGAAAGTTTTAAAAAATCTGAAATATTGTATAATTTGATTCATTGCAGTATTCAAATTATATTTGACTTATCTTAGGGAAATTGAAAATTAAATGTAGATTTTCTGGTTAAATTGTGTTAGTATAGACTTTTTTATGTAAATAAGTTTTTAACGTCAAAACAGTACCTATATTGTTTTATTCTTTCAAACTTGTCATTTCTTCACTGTTTTTTCCTGCTTTTTCTCTTTTTGGATTCTAATAACACGTACATTGGTGAGTTTGATACTGTCTCATGGGTTTTTAAGGTTCATTCTTCAGTCTTGTCTCTCTTCTTCAGGTTGGGTGATTTCTGTTGAACTCTCTTCAAAGTCGCTGTGATTTCTGATACGCTGTTGAACCTTTCTGGTGAATTATTTAATTGTGCTTTCAGCTCTAGAATTTCCATTGAGTTTTCATACTTTCTGTTTTTCTGTTGAAATAACTTTATTTTACATTCATTAAAACTATATTTTCCTTTAGTTATTTGAATGTATTTATGTTTGATTCTTTAAAAATATTTAGGATAGCTACTTTAAAATGTTTGTCTGCAACATCCAGCACTTGTACCCATTTGGTGTCATTTTCTATTGACTGGTTCCTCTCTGCCCCATATATTTCCCAGCCCCAGTAGGGTCACATTTTCCTGTTTTTTTGCCTGTTTTATAGTGTTTGGTTGAAAACTAGACATTCTGGTTAACATGTTTTAGAGACTTAGGATTCTTTTTGTTATTTTGAGGATTTTCTGATATTGTTGCTCTAGCAGGGACTTGATTTGTGTGGACTTGCCGACATAAATAACAAACAGAAAAGGGCTCTCTAAAAGAAAAAGATATTTGGGAATAGGGCATTGCATTGAGAATATGTATGCCATTGTAAACTATGTGCATATTCAGTGAGGTAAAGGCAGACAAAGGTTTTTAAAGGAAAAAATGGGAGTACATAATTCTTTTGAAATAATTATTGTTGGCCACAAAGATCATTAGCAAGAGTGATGTCAGTTTGAGGTTGGACAGACATTTCTGGGCAGATGTCCTCACAGAAGGGTTTTTTTTTTTTTTGTAAAGTTGTGATGGACTTTGTATAAGCTGTGGTTTTTGAACTCTTTTGTGATAGTTTTTGTAAGGACCCTCTCTTCATGGCCTTATCAGAGTTTTTATATTTTTTAATATTAATGACTTCATTTTGGTTTTGACAACTTGCACATACTCAAAACTACTACTCCTTTATCCCTATGATGTATAGCAGCTGATACGTCTGCTCAGTCCTTTCAGCTCGCTCTAGGTGCTGCTTTTTCTCTGAGCCTTGTTGAGATATCCTCCTCTGCTCTCCCAGCCCTATGGTCAGCTGGGGGTTTGGGCAGAGTATATATACCTAGATTTTGGGTCTTACCCTTTCATTGGCACCCTCACTCCAGGGATTTTCCTCCTAAATCTTCAGCTCCTTGTCCAGCCATGAGGCTGTTAACACTGTCGTTTTCTGCTGTTGGAGCTGCAGAGGTCAGGGCTTTTAATTCTTACCCATTCCAATTTTATTGGGGTAAACTCTGGTTTCTGATGGACTTTCAGTTATTTCAAATAGTTTCTTCTGTTTTATAAAGGTTTTTAGTTGTTACCTGGGGGAGAGTTTATCTGACCGATTTACTTTTCCTTTATCAGTAGTTGGAAATACAGTATTCAGTCTATTCATTTTGTATTTCTTAGAAACTTTCATGGAATTACTTACTAAAGTTGTGTGAAAATCTGATGAGGTCAGACTTTTAAATTTTGATTTAATTGAATATTCCACACTAGAATAATATTAATATGATTCACATTTGAAGACCGTTTCTCTCATAGCTATGTTGAATTGTACTAGGAAAAACAGTATGCATAGCTAGGATACTTGTGTAGTTCTTCAGGTGTGATGTGGTAAAATGTGGCTTATTATAATAGCGAATGTGGCAATGGGAAGGAGGGAAGAAGTATTACAAAGATGGAATGAACATTTAACTGTAATAAATTACATGTACAGGAGGAAAGAGGAGTCAAACATAAATATATAGAGAGAGTCTAATAACGTATCTTTTGTAGGAAGAATGTGTGTATTTATCTACATATATATAACTAAGTTAATGTAGGAAGAATGTGTGTATGTATTTATCAACATATATATAAATTTAAGTAAAGTGGTGGTAGATAGAAACCATCATCCATTTTATTCTGGTAATAAGTCTCTCTTGCATTACCATTATTATATCCTAGTTTAGGTTCTTATTAATACTTGGATTGTCAGCTGTCAACTGTGTGCCTAACACTGTGGTAAGTTCTGGGGATATACCAGAGCAGAAGATAAAGGTTTGTCCTTAGGAAAATTAGTCTGCTGATAATAGCAAGTACTTACATGGAATTTTCTGAGCAGTGGTCACTTTTATAAACTTTTGCTGTATAATCCCTTTTTAAAGTCCTTGCTATAAGCTCTTGTTAACTCATAAGCCTCACAATAACGTTATGAAGTAGGAATTAGTACATCCTTTGTACAGATGAGGAAACTGAGGCACAGAGATTATGTAACATGTCGCGAGTTACACAGCTTGTGAGTGACAGCACTAGGATTTGAACCTAGGTAGTCTGGCTGCAAAATCTATGCTTTTAACCACTCTTCTGCATTGGCAAAGCAAAAAGAAGTTAAAGGAATAAAACATATCTGCATTGTCCTCAGAATATCTTTTTTGACTGTCACAGCACTGGAACTGTAATATATTCTCTCCATTCATTTCTGTGTTTAATGTTTTGGAAGAATTATAAATCTGTGTAAATCCATGTGTAAATTTGAGGGCTAGGCCTTGTGAGGCAGACAAAAAGAATCAAGATCAGGAGCCCAGCCAAAAGAGCTCAGAGTCTTAAGAGGGAAAATGGGGCTGTTCAGAAATGCAAGGTAGAAGTCAGTATGGGTTAATAAAAGTAAACCAGATTGAAGTTCACTACTGGAAAAAAAACTATTCAAGAGTCAAGAAGGCTTACTAGAAGTGTGGAATTATAATTGGATTTTAAATAATGTATTTAAATACGTGAATGTTACATTAAATATTTGAGGTGGTATAGTGGAAAGAACGGTGATAAATGAAATAGAGGTAAAAAAATATTAGATATGTAATGGGAGTGGGGAGAAGGTTAGGGTTAGTTTAGCTGAAAGGGAGGCATGCGAGAAGAGAAATTGTGTGAGAAACGGTGTTTGGACCCTTAATGCAGACTAGGGGGTTGAACCTAATTTATGGGCAGTGGAGACCCCTTGAAGAATGAAGTGATAATTTTGGCTGATGTGCAGAATACATTGCTTGGAATGGGGGGGATATGGGCATTGCAGACATGAGTTTTGTCTTTTTGCAGGGAGAGGTTAAGACTCAGGAATATAGTACTCCACACTTTATAAGGAAGGATTTCCAGTTGTAGCTTTGGAGTAAGAGACTGGAGCAAAGGAAAAAATAAAATACATACATTTAAAAAACTGTAAAAAGCCTCATTTGTGGTTATATACTTATTCTATACTACTTTTAGTGTCTTTTAACCAAACTTATTCCTTGAGCTTGCTGAGAGAAGGCCTTATATTGGATACTAAACTGACTTTTTTTTTTTTTTTTTTTAAACCTATCCAGGGCCACCCAGTGCTCCTGCAGAAGATCGTTCAGGAACACCTGACAGCATTGCTTCCTCCTCCTCAGCAGCTCACCCACCAGGAGTTCAGCCACAGCAACCACCGTATACAGGAGCTCAGACACAAGCAGGTCAGATTGAAGGTAAAATAGAATTTAGAACACATGTGTGGAAAACTGCATGTGTAGAAGTGTTTATTGCCGTATTGTTATAAACACCTTATGTATTTAGTCATGCCTTGAACACAGCTAGGAAAAGTTTTGATTTACTGACATGATTTGATGTGAAAAAACAATAGAATAATATGTCAGGTATGTTTCCATTTATTGGAAAGAAAAAAATCCCTAAAGTGTTTATATGAATATAGATACAGAGTGAAAGACCAGTCGTTAGTCAGTGGTGACCCTTGGGGAGGATAGTGAAATTCAGACTGGTGATTTCACACTTTAGTTTGTGTTATACTTAGGTGTTGTTTTATCTCCCTCTTCTCTTCAGCATCTATGCATGCTTTTTCTAATTTAAAAAGATTTCTAAAATAGAGGTAAAGGATAACTAGTTAGAGTGGGGTTTTTTTGGTAAGATTACAGACTTTTATAATTGTGTAAATATAGCAATATGTATTAATAGAAAAAAAGCAGTGTACTTTAAGTCAAACTTTTTCTTCTCTAAATAATCCGTCTTTGGATGTGTAATTAGTCTCCCTGGGTTTTGATACTCTTTCACTGTAAAGTGTGAAAATTGGACCAACCCAGTGATTTCAAAAGAATGTCTTTTGTCCTGAATGAAATATAACTTGAAAGCTCTGTATTTAAAATAGGGGATTGAAGGGCAACAGACTTCAGACGGTAGCACTAAGGTGCTTCATTGAAACCCTTGGAGTTCTGCAGAATGTGACTAAGTACTTACCAATCTCTAGGGTGCCTCCCAGATACTGAAATGTGATTTCTATGAATTGCCAATGCATGTTAGGACCTTTAAAGCCACAATTCCACTTCAAAACAAACACCAGGTGGTGCTCTAACCATTTGTTTAATGGGTCAGATAGTTGTATAATGTATTTTCACCACCAGAAGCAAGTGATTAAAGTTATCAATCACATTACAAAAAACAAAAACAAACAAAACTTAGCCTAAAATGAACTGACCACTTTGGAATAGAATCCTGTTATCCTGTAGTGGATACTTTCAGAGTTGTCTGGTCAGGTGTGGTGACTCACATCTATAATGTGCTTATAATCCTACAAAGTGCCTATAATCCCAGCACTTTAGGGAAGCTGAGGCAGGAGGATAACTTGACCCGGGAGTTTGAGAATAGGTTGGGTAACATAGTGAGACCCTGTCCCTACAAAATAAAAAAAAAAAATGATTAAAAAAAACTAGCTGGGTGCTGTGGCATGTGCCTATAGTTCCAGCTTCTTTGGAGGATTGTTTGCCTTGTTGAATGAAGAGGTGGAGGCTGCAGTGAGCTGTGATCACTCCACTGCATTTCAGCCTGGGCAACAGAATGAGAACCTGTCTCAAAAACAAACAAACCGCTCCCCCGCCCAAAAAAAAAATCCACAGAGTTGTCTGTTGGATAAGCAGCAGTCATTGTGGACTAGCAGATGACATTTTGCTGATGAATCAGTGGTTTGCGAAGAATTTATTGCTTAAGGCTTTCCAAGTTTAGTCGTCCTCCGTATCAAAATTCTACTGCCAAAACTAGAACAAACTAGGACTAAAGCAGATGTGGGCTGAAACGGACAGAAGCAGAGTATAGGTATGATGAGAGTTTAATGCCTATATCAGGTGAACTATAGATTTGTTTTTAAATAAATCCCATTTTAAGCGGTGTATACTGTTATAGAATGACAGTTGGAAGGATCCTTGTACCAAATGTTTGCTGTTTATGTATAAGGAAATGGGCATTAAGGCTCTATTAGCAATATCTAAACATTCTATGAAGTGTTTGTTTTAATTGAGCATTTTCAAATAAGTAAAATTTAAAAAATGTGAAAGGATATCCAGTGAAAATTCTCTCTCCCACCTCTGTCTGCCGCAACCAAGTTTCTTTTTCCAGAGATAGTAGATTAACACTGTTTATATGCATTTAATGCCTTTAGAGTAGTATTGTATGCCTTGGTACAATTGTTAACAGTTAGCTTAATTAAAACATACAGTATGAAAATTGTACAATTAATAAGTGACATCATTTAAACACTTAATAACCGATCTAAGTCTAGTGCTGTACAAAAGAATTAGAGGCCACATTTAATTTAAAATTTTATATTTAGCTGCATTAGAAAAATGTTTAAGAAAAGGTAAAATTAATTTTATTTATCCTAATATATCCAATATAAGTTAATTATTTTGGTACGGTGTATTGGAAATCTGGGATGTGACACTGATTTGGAACACTTTAAACACAAACAACATACCACAATACAGACAAGCCACATTTTAGGTGCTCAGTAGCCACATGTGGCTAGTGACTATGTGGCTAGTGACTATTTTAAGAGCACAGCTTTAGATAAATATTATTTATGGATTCCCAGCATGAATTATAGGGTACTTTAATAAATACATTTTGATGTATAATGAGTCTCTGATGTTGCCAGTTATTTAGATCAATTTGCTCAATAATTTGAGCAGAATTACCAACATAAAATGTATTACTTATAATTTATTAACATAGCAATCTCTTATAATGCGTAATAGTCCAAATTAAAATGAAGAATTCTGAGTTGTTACTTAACTCCCATAAAAGGAACCTTGGAACTTTGAATTTTATTCTGAAGAAATGTAGTGTTAATACATTGTTCAGTTAAAAGAATCAACAAGATACTGAGCATCATTAAAAAAACCAAAAGGGAGAATGTTACCCTTCTTCATATGAAGCCAGTGCCTGTTATTGGAAAACTATGTGACATTGTCAAAAACATATGTGGTAAGGAGAAGAAGCCTAGAAATCTTCAGAGATCAGTAGATACTGCAGTTTGACAAACTAAAAACATGAAAAAGCATGTAATTAAAATCTGTAAATCATATGCCAGTATAATGAAAAGCTGAGCAGACTTTTTTATAAATGTCGAAACAAGACAGAATAATCAACTCCTCATGTAGACATCGTGCAGCTTCAACACTTGCCAATATTTTGGCATTCTTTTTTTTTTAATCATTTTCCCCACTGCACCCCTTTTAATTTGCTGGAGTAGTTTAAATCAAATTATGAACAGCTTATACTCAGCTATTTCAGTATGTATGTCTAACTGATAATCTTTTTAATATAACCACCATGCCATTATTTAACAGTGACTCTTTTTTATTTTTAATTGAGACAGGGTCTCACTCTGTTGCCCAGGTTGGAGTGCACTGGCGTGATTACGGCTCACTGCAACCTCAACAGTGATGCTTAATGGCAATGTGTACTAGTCTGTATTTGAATTTCCCGAATTGTTTCAAGATTAGTTTGTTACAATTGATTTGTTCAAATCAGGAGCCTAACAGGGTTCATACTTTGCTTTTCATTAACGTGTCTTGAGTCCTTTTTTCTGATAGCTGTCATCCCTTACATGTTCCCCAAATCAAAACTATGCATATTATTTATTACTATGAAGCTATTATCCCAAAATATAGATGCTTAGACAACAAATGTTTATTATCTCATATAGTTTTAGACAGTCAGATATCCAGGAATGGTTTAGTTGGGGGATTTTGGCTCAGAATCTCTCACTGGGTTGGAATTAAAAATGATTACTGGGGTTATAGTCATCTGAAGCTTAACCAGAGCTGGAGGATTCAGTTCTTTACCATTTGGACGTCATAAATGCTGTACATGTGCAGAAGCCATTGAGGGTCAAAGAGGCTGGCTATTCTCTGTAATAAATACATTCCATAAGTTTTACCATTACTCCTTGCTTCATTCTGTTTTCTTTTTCCCCTTAGATAATATTTTTTATAATTTTTTATTCTTTCATTATTTTTGAAAATACACATAAAATATAGCTTATATATAGTTGTGCACTGTATGACAACGTTTCAGTCAACGGTGGGCTGCATATATGATGGTGGTCTCATAAGATTATAATGGAGCTGAAAAATCTCTATTGCCTAGTGATGTGTAGTCATCATAATTGTAGCACAAAGCATTACTTACGTGTCTGTGGTGATTCTGGTATAAACAGACTTACTGCCAGTCATATAAAAGTGTAGCTCACATAATTATGTGTAGTGTCTACTACTTGATAATAAATGAGTCTGTTACTCATTTGTGTATTTACTATAGTATACTTTTAAATCATTATTTTAGAGGGTACTCCTACTTATTTAAAAAAACAAAGCTGTAGAACCAGGCTCAGGTAGGTCCTTCAGAAGTTATTCCAGAAGGCATTGTTATCATAGGAGATGAAAGCTCCATGATGTTCTTGACCCTGAAGATCTTCCAGTGGGACAGGTTATAGAGGTGAAAAACAGTGATATTGATGATCCTGATGCTGTATAGGCCTCAGCTGATGTGTATGTTTGTGTTATAATTTTTTTCTAAAAGTTTAAAGAGCAAAAGAAAATTTAAAATTAAAAAAAGAAAACATAGAATAAGGATATAAAGAATAATTATTTTTGTATATTAGTACAATGTGTTTTAAGCTAAACTGTTAAAGAGTTAAATTTATAAAGTAAAAAATTATAGTAAGCTAAGGTTAATTCATTATTGAAGAAATGGAATTTAAAAAAATAAATTTAATGTAGCCTAAGTGTATAGTGTTTATAAATCTTCAGCAGTGTACAGTAATGTGCTAGGCCTTCACATTTACTCAACACAAGTACCTCACTCTGAGCAACTTCTAATCCTACAAGCTCCAGTCATGGTAAATGCCCTAGACAGGTGTACCATTTTTTAATCTTTTTTTTTTTTGCCATATTTTCACTGTACCTTTTTAATGTTTTGATATGTTTTAGATACACAAATAATTACTATGGTGTTACAGTTGCCTAAGTATTCAGTACAGCAACATGCTGTACAGGCTTGTAGTCTGTTGTATTCCTATAGCTATATAGTAGGCTGTGATATCTAGGTTTGTGTAAGTGTACTGTGTGATACTTGCACAGTGACACATTTTTCAGAACCTACTGTTGTCATTAAGCAATGCATGACTGTATTTTTTATTACTCAAAACATTGCTGGCTGGGCGCGGTGGCTCACGCCTGTAATCCCAGCACTTTGGGAGGCCGAGGCGGGTGGATCACGAGGTCAAGAGATCGAGACCATCGTGGTCAACATGGTGAAACCCCGTCTCTACTAAAAATACAAAAAATCAGCTGGGCATGGTGGCGCGTGCCTGTAATCCCAGCAAGTCAGGAGGCTGAGGCAGGAGAATTGCCTGAACCCAGGAGGTGGAGGTTGCGGTGAGCCGAGATTGCGCCATTGCACTCCAGCCTGGGTAACAAGAGCGAAGCTCCGTCACAAAAAAACAAACAAACATTGCTTATTATAAACAATCTCTGCACCTTGCTTTCTTCATGTATCCTATAGATCTCTCAAGTATGTGAAGAAGTTCCTTTTTCTTTTTTTAAACAATTAGACTTCTTAATTAATTTTCAGAATACTGTGACAGTCCCATTTGGACTTGAATGAGGTGGGTTTAAAGTAAGTACTGTAAATCCTCACTTAATATTGTTGATAGTTTCTTAGAAACTGTAACTTTAAGTGAGACGATGTATGAGGAGGAAATCAGTTCTATAGGCTAATTGATAAGAGTAAGTTGAGTTCCTACAGCATATTCCTGATCACAAAAATACCCCTGGACTTTTAGATAAAGACTAAAAACAAATGTGAGCTATAGATATATTTAAGAAAGATTAATAAAAACAAATAAGATGATACACGTAGTTATTCCAGTTCAGGGCTGTGGGTGGCTGAAATCTATCCTGGCAGCTCAGTAGCAAAGTGGGGACCAACCTGACAGGATGCTATTCCATCACAGGGTGCACTTGCAACCACACACACACCCACAGTCAGCAGACTGAGATCACTTAGACATGCTAATTAACCTAACATACACATCTTTGGGATATGGGAGGAAATTGGAGTACCCAAAGCCAACCCACACGGACTTGGGGAGAATGTGCAAACTCCACACGGAACAGTAACCTAAGCTGGGAATATTTTTTTTTTCCTTATCAGTGTTTTAACAAAACAATGTGAAACAAAAGATGTTATTTGAGGATCTGCTGTAAAAGGAATATTGTGTAGAGGTAGTAATAAACCTCTGAAATTTTTAACTCTAGTGATATTTTCAAAATCAATTTGTAGAAGTTTGTGAAAACATGCCAAAAAGAACAGCTTTAAGAAGAGTTGTACCCTATCAGTTTTTATTGAGGGCAATTAACTACATTTTTTACCAGGAGTTTCTTACTCATTGATGACCACAGTCTACCACAGTCTACTACCACATGGAGCCTTAATCTCAGCCTTGTTTGATGATGCCCAAGTTAATATTAGTGTTATTTTGTTCATGGGATAGTATATGCAAAACTACTTTGTAAACTAAAGCTTTGGAGTTATGCCTGGGATCCAGTGATGGTTCTTAGCTCTTGATGGTTCTGTTCTTAGCTATCGACTGCAGGTAAGTTGCTTAATTTTTCTGTATCTGAGATAGGGAATACTAATTTGGTTGAACTTTTTTTTAATGTATGCATTGCCTGTTTGCTTATTTTTTTTTTAATTGAGGAGTTAAACCTTTTAATTTTGAAGAATTAAGAGTTCACTGTTATATGCTATACGTATTTATTCCCCTTGATCATATTCCTGATAAAGACATAAATCAATAAATCTTTGTTTGAAAATCACATGTATGGGAACAGTTTGTGAGGACAGAAAAATAAAAAGTAAAATAAAATAATAGGAAATAAGTGTCCAAAAGGTTTCTTCATAGGAACTGTGGTTTTTGACCCCAAATAGGACAGATAGGACTCTCATGTTCAAGAACACATCCCCAGTGTTAAAAAGGTCTACCATTGTTAAATAGTGCAATGAAGAACCATTTAGGCTTAATTAGAGTCCACATTATTGGTTGAAGATGTTGGATGTTCATACAAAATCAAACTTGACAAATTCCAAAGGTGTCTTTCAGCTCTGGAACAAAAGATGTCATGTAGTTCCTTGCTACAAAAAAGTTCTTTCATATGGTAATAGAGGTCCAAACCTTTAGAGGGCAAATACAGTGCTTTAGGAAAGACTTAGATGATGTTAATGGTATTTGTCCTTTTTTTCATTTTTATTTGTTGATTTTCAGCTCACTTGGCTTTTAATGAATATTAGCGTTACTTATCTGTTGGCAGCTGGGTTTGAAAACATTTGTTTTTCTAGACTTTATGAAATGGTAGCCACTGTTGTTACACTTAATGTTTGTTGCCAGTTAGTTCTCTGCAGTTAATCCACAGCAGAGCAGTCACACTTCTTAAATGGTTCATTTTCTTCATAGACATTTAAAAGTGAACAAATACTTTCTTGTATATTGTTACACTGCTTAGATGGAGAGAGGATGTATATGCGCCTTTAAAATATTTCTCTTTGCTACATTAAACATGCCTGTTTTTTTCGTGTGTGTGTCTGTGTGTGTGTGTGTGTGTGTGTGTGTTTTAGGTCAGATGTACCAACAGTACCAGCAACAGGCCGGTTATGGTGCGCAGCAGCCGCAGGCTCCACCTCAGCAGCCTCAACAGTATGGTATTCAGTATTCAGGTGAGCAGGTGTTGAAAGGGAGTTGGCTTATGGTTTTTTGCTTGTTCCTATACTCATTAAACTTTAAGCTCTTCTTAATTCCTTGATTTGTAGTACATTGACATAATAGGTATTACGTTTTTATTAGGGGAATTACATTAACATCTATTATAAATCAACATTTCAGTTTTCTGGTGGGCAAATAAAACTTAAAGTAGATGATTCTGCAGTAACCTGTAGTGTCAAAAGTTTTTAATACAAAGCTGTCTCTTACTAATATGATAAGCTTACGTCTTAGGCGACTTAGTGCAAGGTTCCCCCCTCCCCTCCACTTCCGTGTAACACATAATTCTAGCATACTCTTAGTACCTGTAGAAATATGAACACTTTATTCATAAATGGAAAGGTGATCTTAAGAGCTAAATTAAGCTACTTAGGTTTTAAAATCTCTTGCAAGTATGTGAGAATACCAGATACAGGCCATAAAATTGTATAAAATGTAATTCAGGCAATTAAGAACTTTGTTTAGCTGTTTTAAATAAGCATCCTGGGTATTTTGTTTCTATTTTACCATCTGTCCACTGAAATATATGTATTTTTGATAAATCTTATTAATGTATCTTTGGCTGTGATTCCAGTATTTTTTACATTTATGTCAGAGAGTTTGTTGTGTCCAACTCTTGTTTTACAGCCAAAGATTTAAATATAAGAGTTTCAACTGTAATTAAAAATAATTTATGCAAGTTGAGTCTTGTCTAACTTCTATTTTATGGAGTTTTGTGGTATCAGCTAGAGCAGGGGTCAGCCAAGTACAGCCCACAGGCCAAATCTGGACTGTTGCCTGTTTTTTTTTGAATAAAGTTTTATTAGAACACTTATTTTTATGTTCTCTGTTGCTACGTGGGCACTAGAATGGCAGAGACCATGTGGCCCACAAAGCCTAAAATATTTACTATCTGGCACTTTACAGAAAAGTGTGCTGACTCCTGACCTAGATCATAACATTCTGTCATTAATTTTATTTATATTTGCTGTAGAGTGACTAACCTGTAGCGACTTATTTTTAATTGTATAAAATACATAGAACTTAAGTTTGGATCATATTAGGAGGAAGGTTGTTTTTAGGTTGCAGTTCTTAAAAAAATCCCTGTTATAAATTATGTGATTTATAGAAAGGATAGCAGAGCTGAAGAGATACAGTTGTCATTTAATCTCAGGGGATTTCGGCCCTTACTATGCTTTAGAATCACCTGGGGGAGCTTTGTGTAGCTGGGCCTCATTCCCAGAGATTTTGAATTTCATTTGATTGGGTGTGGGACTCAGGCTTTTGCATTTTATAGGTTAGGCAACTAGGTTTCAAAGAAATTGTGATTTGTTAAAGCACATACAGCCATTCACTGGAGGGAGCTGGGTCAGTTCAGTATTTCCCTTTATCATTCTGCATTCTCCCAACCTAGACCAGAGTTGGCAGACTTCTTCCTTAAAAGGTTAGATGTTGTATGTATTCAAAAAACCCCACATAATTTCCATATTTCCATTTTTTTTTTTTTGCTATTTCTGATGTTCTTCACCTAAGTTACTTATTATTTTGGAGGGATAGAAGGGAGACTATACACACGATAGGAGCATTGCCACATTATGTTCAAGAGACTGGTGGGCCGCTAATGAAATCTTCAGCCTGTAGGGTTATTCCCACCCTTAAGCAATAATTAGGGATCGGATTACCTCCAGGCCCAGTTAAAAAAAGGTTGAGATTTCAGTTGCCAGGATGAAAAGGGACTTTTTTTTTTCACAGTCTTAAAATGAATAGGCATTTTCAGTATAAAGCTGAAACAATGTTTCTTCAAAACTTTATAGTGAAAATTTAAGTTTTATGTAGAGGATAGGACATACTGTATGACATTCAGAATTTTTTATGAATTTAGTTCAGTATTTAAATGTTACCATGAGTTAAATGCATTAAAGATACTTGATTTACTTATTAAGAACTAAGCTTGCTCTTAATAAATGTAGTCAGGGTCTTCACTCTGAGTAAAATTTAGTTTTTTCAAATTATCTTTGTATTTCTGATCCTACTAGTCTATTAACTTGAATTTGATTGAGAGATATGGAAATAGTCAACTAAATACTCTGCTTGGAGACTGAGTGGTGGTGGTAACACTGGACCCTCTTTGACACTGTTGTTGGTTTGCCAGTTTCCCTCTGACCTTTTCCAGTTTTGTTCATGGACTATGTCATAAAGGTTTCTTTCATGAGTAAATTTTGAACCCAGGTTCAAGGTGAGTTCAGAATATACTCAAATTCATTCAATCCTTTTTTTTTTTTTAATGCAGGGTTGTACATATTTTAATAATTTTCTTATGTATCTGGTATTTAATGCTGACAGGATTCCAGTCAATGGAGAGGTTTCATTGCAAGTAGCTGCAGGTGTGTTTCATGGTAGAGATAAAAGTTTTCAGTGAAGCAGACTTTCTTTGTAAAAAAAAAAAAAAAAATTACATCCTAGTAAATAATGAATATAGATGTTGCTTTTTTTGGGGCAATATGGTATACTTTTATGTGCTGTGCTATACTGCTAAGTCAAAATATTGTAAAGGCAAAAAGCATCAGATACCAAATCTAAAAGAAAAGATTTTAAGGATTGTGAAAACAGTACTTTGTATTTATTCTTAAATGGCTTAGTTTTTATAGAGTGAGCAAAATTTAAAGCACCTAATTAGTACAATAAGATTTATAGTATTTCATATAAAAATGTTCATTCTCTGCAATGTGTTTTTATTTGATGTTGTTAAGTAGCCCCTCCCACCCCAAAACCTGGTTAATGACTATTTAGCTTTCCCATTTTTGGTCTTCCTAGAAAGTATAATCTTTCATTTATCATTTGAGCTTCTGGTCTAGGAATTATGCTATAGCAGGAATTTGCTCACAGGGATTATGTCTCAGAGGGTTTAAAAAATTGTAGAAAATATCTCTCATAACTTCCTGGTCTTGAAATATTATGTGATGATGGAATCTACCACTCTGCTTGTTACATAAATATTTGTTAAATTTCTCACCATTTTTAGTCCATAACAGTAAGACTAATTCTCTGGAAAAGCTTTACTAAAAGATAAGATACATGTTATTTGTTTTGCCTTTTCAGTAAGCTATAGTCAGCAGACTGGACCCCAACAACCTCAGCAATTCCAGGGATATGGCCAGCAACCAACTTCGCAGGCACCAGCTCCTGCCTTTTCTGGTCAGCCTCAACAACTGCCTGCTCAGCCACCACAGCAGTACCAGGCGAGCAATTATCCTGCACAAACTTACACTGCCCAAACCTCTCAGCCTACTAATTATACAGTGGCCCCTGCCTCTCAACCTGGAATAGCTCCAAGCCAACCTGGGGCCTATCAACCAAGACCAGGTTTTACTTCACTTCCTGGAAGTACCATGACGGCTCCTCCAAGCGGGCCTAACCCTTATGCACGTAACCGTCCTCCCTTTGGTCAGGGCTATACCCAGCCTGGACCTGGTTATCGATAAGGAGGCTCATCTATACCAATTAACGTAGCTGCTAGCTATCGGCCTCCCAAAAGACTCCAATACTATTTTAATTTGTATTGAAGTTCAGAAATTTAAAAAGCAGAGCATTTTTTATGATATCATTGTTGCTGTTAACTGGAAGTATAATTTGCTGGACCACAAAAACCAAAATGAAAGTTTTTTCCTCCCTGCTTAAAAATGTAGCAGCTTCTTAGTTACTTTGGAACACTACTCTTATGTGTATAAAGTGATTGATTGACTTTCTAGCTTCCCTTGTCCAGAGGATATTAAAATGCTAGGGTGAGGTTTAGCCATCTTACTTGGCTTTTTACTATTAACATGATGTACTAAAGTAGAGCCCTTTGAGAATACAACTAGATATTATGTATAAAATGTAACACTGATAGGTTAATAAAGATGATTGAATCCATTAGTGGTCTTGAAATTTAATTTAGTCATTAACATGAAAAAAGAACAATTTTTTAGAAATCCTTATTGGTGTTTGAAGTATAAACATTTTAACTTACAGATTTCTATTCAGAGAAAGATTGCCATTTGATTTTTGTCCTTCCTTTGAAAAAAAAATGCATTTGGTAATCATTGGTTTAAAATAAACTTTATTACTTGGTATGATGAAAGGTTAATTTAGGAGATAAACAAACAACAGATGATATAAGTGGGGTTTGGTAGAGCCTGGATAACTTTGTGATTTTCCTTCTGAGATAAAAGGTATAGTTACTATACTGATGAACCATTCAGAAATAAAAATAAAAACTCATCTTAAAAAAAACTACATCTCTTTATTGCAGAATTTATACTTGTTTGAAAAATACAAAATGTAGCATTGAGAAGATTGAAGCATGTTGCAAGGTAAGCACAGGGAAAGGTCCTTTCAGAATGACGGCAACAGTGCAGCAAGGATTCTCATTCCCTGCCTGAAGGAAAATACCTTTTTAATAGAAATGAGTCATATTTTCATTACGGATTGAATTCAAGTTACAAAAGCATTCTCCGATACATTCATTTATAGAGGTCTTACATATAAATGCATAGTAAATATCCTGTAAAGTGGTTGGAGATCGCATCATGCATTACCTTTTCGTGCTCAGACTTCACATTCAGTCTCTACATACACCTTCATTAGAGTCATAAAAACAATATGAAGACAAGTGGGTAAAGGGATAGCTTGACAAAGTATACTCGGATACCGTAACTTTTATGATGGGTAAAAGTGTATCTATCTTTTGAAACAATATATTAGACTCCATTTTTAGCTGTAATGAAATTTACTGATTCAGTCTTTTCAATGATTTGCGGATGTTTAAAGGAAATATAGTTACACATTCATGCTAATATATTTATTTAAACTCCTCTGAAAAGCTATTCAGCTATTGCTTTAAAAATTGAAGTTTAAATATAAATGTGAATATTCGGACCTTTTTTCCCCAGATAGATATGCTGAAGATAATTTGATCCAATAAGTTAAACTAAGTAGAGATTTATGGAATTAATTCATCAATAGGAAGCATACACATCAATAAAAGTAAATATTTTTTTTTAAAGTATGTAACTTTTTTGATGTTAATTTTGTTATAAAAGTATCTCAAAACATCATTACAACAGTGTGATAAATAATATACAAACGATCTCTTAAAATACCATGTATAGGGAGCCAGCTTCCCCAAAAACATTATTCTGTTAACATCAATATCTTGCTTTCTTAAAATGACTTTGTAAAACCTGATAAATACTCTTAGCAATCTTTTCTAATAATAAACATCTAGTATTGCTATTAGATTGTAGAATTTTATACATAGTAAACAAAATAGCTTTAAATGAATGTGACATAGTGTTTTCAATGATTTTGTTTGCCGTGATGAAACAGAAGGTAACTTGGTGCAGCATCTACCATTTTCCAGGAATTGTAGTCCCGCATTCATACCACTGAACATAATTGATTTGAGTATGACCACCTATTTCTCCAAATTGGACAGGTTCCTGGCGAACTGCTCTGAAATAGCCTGAGAGAGAAAATAGTTTTATTTTAACAGCTGCTATATTACATTTTTGCCCTCATAGCTGATAGATTGAAGGATGTGGAATAGCTGAAGGCTAATCTGAGCGAAGCAAAGTAATTTAGAAAACTGAGAGCAAGAAGCTCTCGTGTTGTCTCCTGAGGCGTCATCTTGGTTGGCTAAAATGGGCACCTGAAAAGTTGTTGACATTTGCCATGTCGAGTTAGGAGGGGATGGTTGGTAGTGACAGTTTCACTGCCCATTAATGTGTTCACAGAACTTAGTAGGTCATCTTTTTTTATTGTTGGTATTTTTAAGTCCAGTGAACAAAATGTGTTACTGAAAAATTAATCAAATGTTATTTAGAGAACCTCCTGGTGATTCCTGACTAATATGAACAATTAATTTACCCACTTCTGCACTGCTTAGACAAGGATTAATTTTTAGTCTTATTCAGTGCTCATTACACAGCTTGGTGCTAATGGGTCTTTAGCAATTGACAGAGGTTATTTATTTTCCACAGAATTTATTCTATTTTAATTATATTTATACAGTTATTTGTAAGGTATGTACTATTTTTTTTTCCATTTATAGTAGCAGTTTAAAAAATTTATTTAAGGAGATAAAAATAATGGAAGTGTGTTCAATATGACAAAACCCATAACATTAATACATTAATGATTCAAGTTTGGGAAACTGCTTTTTTATATCTGTTTTTGCAAATTTAGATTTTCTTGAAGTAGGATGTATTTATATTATGTCTGTATAATTTGTCTTGGCGCTAAGTCTCTAAGCTGAGAAACATATTAAAGTCTTCATTTTTTCCTAGCCAGATGTGTAGAGCAGTAGAGTACTATAGAATTCTTTTTAAATTGATTGGTTTCATCAGCTTGATTTCTTTCTGGGTTAATCTGTAAAACTCTGTTGCTTATGAGGAGGATCAGAAAACATACCTTCTTTGATTGGTAACTGGTCAGAGGTGAGTTGCTGCCCAGTGCGTCCATCTAAAAATGAATCCACAAACTGGCAGTGATCTTCTCCATGGCCCCTCTGATCACCTATGTTATAAAATTTTCCTGAAGAACCAGAAGTGAAAAGGGTTTCTTACTTTGATATGTGACAATTCTGAAATAATCTTCATTACTGTTTTTGTACTTTCTCCCCCCATTCCCTGTTATCCTTGTTCAAACCAGCGTTGGTCTCTTGCCTTCCTGTATTCTTCCTCCCCTCCCCTTCTCAGAGATGATTGATCTTTTAAAAATGCATGCCAGATAATGTTTATTTTCTCCATAAATTTCTCCAGGAGTCTCCCATTATATTCAGAATAGAATCCAAAGTCCTTACCTGATTTCAAAGGTCCACATGATTTCACACCTGCCTGCCCCTTCACTTACTAAGTCTGGGCCATACTGGTGGAACTGGCCAGGGGTATTCTGCCTTAGGTCTTTGCACTTTCCCTTTCCTCTAGACCTTTGTGTGGTTAGCTCCTTCTCAGTGTTCTTTGTTAGTGCTAACTTTTTAGAGAGGCCTTCTTCACCTTTTTCAAAATGTTCTTCAAAGTACCTCTATAAATTTTCACTTATGTATTGTCTGTCTCTCCTTACTAAGGAAATGAAGGAGAGGTAAGCTGTGGGAAAGCAGGAAATACCTTTTATGCTGCTCTGTGTTCAGCACTTAGAACAGTTGAATGACTGAAAAAATATCTACTTTTTTATATTGGGCCAGCCTATTAAAAATTTTTACTCTGAATATAGAAAATTATAACCTATTGGGTATGGAGCAAGGGGTTGTAGCTCTTACAGCATCTTGAAGATACTATATTAATTCCATGATTATTGTTAGTCACTTCATTGTCAATAGGCTTTTTATCCTGGATGGTTGTAACAAAATGGAGCTTGATCATGGTTGGTGAATGTACATTCCAGTTTGCCACAATGGCGCCGTTTTATAATTCCATTTTTATTACTTACCTTCTAAAAACATTCCTTAAATTCTTGTTTTCTAGGAATGATAACCATTTCAGTAACATTTTGCTCAGAGGAACACTTGTGTTAGTGCCTGGAACTCTTAAGAAAAGGCCAAATTGTACAATGCCACAAAACATTCCCATAAGTCAAGGACTGAAAACAGAGCTGGGGGCCCGGCTTACCTGTGAGGGAGTCACTCAAGTAAATCTTGTATCTGAGCGAGTTGCACAGCTGCACTCCTACAAATTTCTTATACCATGTCCTTTTGACATATTGTTTGCCCTTACACTCTGAGTAAGAGTCTGAATTAAAGGGTCTTTCAGTCCATATGGCATCTCTTCCTGCTACATACGGAAAACAGACGGTTTGAGTTTAGGCTTTAAGAAAACAGTTTGCAAAATTTGTCAACTTGCTGATACCTCCCCCCCAGCCCATGATAAATATTGGAGCCAAAAATATTAGAAGGATTTAAACACATAAAGTCAGTAGATAAATCTGAGAGCAGCATGTTAAGGTGTTTAGATGCTGAATGATTTCTGTAGAGCTAGATGTAGACAGCGTCCTTTAGGAGCAAATTTAGGTTTCTTTTTTGTAGCATGTTATAAAATTTAGACAACTGCTTTAATATGACTTGTTATTAAAAGTGGAAATGAGAGTGTTGTATCTTATTATTATTTTTTGAGACAGGATCTCACTCTGTTGCCCAAGCTGGATCATGGCTCACTGTAGCATTAACCTCCTGAGCTCAAGCAGTGATCCCACCTCAGCCTCCCAAGTAGCTAGGACTATAGGTGTGCACCTGCCTAACTGATTTTTTATTTTTAGATTTTTTGGAGAGAGGGAGTCTCACTACGTTGCCTAGGCTTGTCTCCAACTCCTGGGCTCAAGCAGTTCTCCTGCCTCAGCCTCTCAGAGTGCTGGGATTACACTGGCTGTCTTATTAAACAGTAATAACCCTGTGCATGAGTGAAAGCAAATTTCAGAATGTCCAACTTGTTCCCAGAACATCATGGGTCCTCAGTGTTGTACAATGTGTAGGCAAACATTCACACCTGTTTGGTATTCTAAGAAGACTAAGTGGAAAAACATGAAATCATGATTCAGATTCTGTCAGGTCTGTTCATTTGAGTAAGTTTAGAAAAACATGTAGTTGTGTTTTCATTGAGACAGGTACTTACCAGAAACTGGCTCGCTCACTCTTGGGTCCGCTGAGGAGAAATAAATACAAAAGTCAGACCTTACTAGATAAACCCCCAACATACCATGTGGCGTGGCGAAGACTGTGGGTGCTTACAGTTGTTAAGAAATTTTATTTGCAAAATTGTACATTTTTGCTAAGGATTGAATTTGAAAGTTTTTTTGTTTTGCAAACGGTTCTTGATTTGATAATCTACTTGGTAGGTATTCAGCTGGATCTGTTCCATGTAATTTGAGTAGTTAGGAACCTTTGTCACTGTTCCAGCCTTCACTTGAATTTCAAAAGCTGCTGCTTTTAGTTTGATAAAAAAAACTTCATGGTAAAAGTCACCAAGATGCCATGAACCACAGTTGGTATAAAAATTATGCAAATATTAATGCTGTATGTGCAGATGTATCTCATTAAGGAATTGCAGCTTGTAAGGTCTAATTAGAAAATTTCACAGCTGTTACTAAACTATCTTGGGGTTCCCTTTCTGGTTCCCTCACTGATATTTTGATTCTAGGCATAAAGGGGAGTAATCGTTCAGTAGCTTTTTGGAAGAGTATAGCTTGACTATGCTTTTTAAATTAAATTGATGTGTCTTTAAGTGAGGAGAAACCATACGTGGTGTTTCTCTAAACCTTCATCAATTTGCTTTTTCCTACAAATGGGTTTCCAAAAATTCGAGAAACAGTATATGTAGTGTTTAGCTGGGTTTCAAACAAGCTTCCTATGCAAAACATTGCTCCGCTGTGGCCCTTTTACATCCTGTCTGGGAATTACTGTTGATGTAATTACCTGATTCAGTACTGAATGCCACTGTGTTGCTGACTGGGCCTTCGCCAAGTGGGTTTTTGGGTTTCACCTGGAATTCATAACTGTTGAGGGGAAATAAAAAAAATACTTGTAATATATTCCTCAGGAATAGGAGGCAACATTCCCCTTTTATATTGACATCCCTTTTGATTCTATTTTGAAATTATGACAGTGAATGTTCCAGAAAGTAGGTTGAGGAAAGAAAACATGTTCCAGAAGTAGATTAAGGAAAGAAAAATAATTTCCTAGTTCTACTTTCTGAACAGCTTGTCAAATGTTTCATTAAGCATTAAGTTAATAAAAAAGATGGTTGTCTTTAAAAATCTCCAAACTAGTACAGATAACTTGGCAGATTGTTAATAGACATGCAAGAAAGTGGTATATGGTAAACAAAGGCTAATTCGAAAAACAAGGAGCCTGTTTCTTAAAGATGTCTCAGCTACTTCCTGGGGCTAAGAAGTTGCAAGATTCTGTTTTATTTTCTGTTATCCCAACCCCGAGTATAACCCTGGACTTAGGCCATTTTCCTCACTGTGGGGCTTGAACTACTTATGTCAGAATCACATGATAGGGTGGCAGTGGTGAAAGTGTTAATCTGCAGATTTCTTTTCTACTCTAGGTATGGAATCAATTTTTGAGGAGATTCAGGTCAGAATTTGTAACTCCCCTAGGTGACTCATGTGCCCACTGATGTTTGAGAACTACTGTTTTACTCTGTAGTCTATTTAACTGTAGACTAAGCTATGGGAATAGATACACATAAGCGTTTCTTTGCAAGGACTTCCTAGTTGTATCCCTTGGAACTTGGGTCTTCTGTGGATCACAGGATGCTATGGTCTCCATAAAAGGTGCATGATAGGGTTGCCTTGTGAAGAGGAGGAGCACAAACACAGACATCTCTCTCCCTTGATACACCAGATTCATGTTGGCCAGTCCCTAAATTTTGTTAAACAAAACAAACCCCCAAATGACCCTAGGTCCCTTGGGAATTGTAAGTTCCTTTGACTGTATCCTTAAGAATTATTCATCATATTATTGTGCGGTATTTAGCAATCTTTATTCATAAAGTATGTAAACAAAGCAAATCCTTTAACGAAATTGAAATACTAAAGCAATTTGCCATTTGCCTGAAATTAAGATTTCCTTTCAGCAGCAAGCAGACTTGGCCGTGAAAGGACTTTGAATTCAAAAATCAGCCTGAGTCAGCCGATAATATTTTGAGAGTCTCAGATTTGTTCAAAGCTTTTGGGAGATAAATAATTTTTGTCTTTGAGAAGTCTGTAAGAATGCAGAATGTACAAAAGATAGGTATCTTATAAACGAGCGAAAAACAGAAGGGTGACAGCTGTCAGTTTAGTATAGCTGGTACTAAGTGATGAAGAAAAAAAGACTCAAGTTTCTTGATCACTGAGATACTGCATTAACACACTGCTGGAATCTAGTCTAAGACAACAGAGTCCAGTGCCACAACAATGGCAGCCACTTTCTGAATGCTTACTGTGTATCGGATGCATTAGTCATTCTGCATATATAAAGCAATACAACACATGCAAACCCTGATGAGATACATCTTATCCTAATTTTCATTTGAGAACAATGAGGCTCAAAACCCTTGTACTGTTACTGCTTTTGCTTTTCAAAGCTTTAAAACTTAATGAAATGGGGAATAAAACTTACCCTTCCTCATAGGGTTTTTAATGAGAGAACGCAAATGACAGCATTTTGTAAACTGGGCAATTGATAAAAGTTGTCATTTGCAATGAGAGACTTGATACAAAAACAACTTTGTCATTTACATAAATCACACATATATGGGGGTATTTTCACATGAAATATTTTCCAGAGATTAAATATTTGTTAAGAGGCTTCAAAACAAAAAGCCCATAGAAGTATAGTGAACTTAAAATGGAAAAAAAGAAATCATAGGCATTTGGACTTTGATTGAAATGGGCAATGCATTCCACATTTGTTCCAGGCCACTGCCAAAAGTGTTGTGCTTTGGCCAAGCCTGACTGATTGCTGGAATTGTCTCCATGTCTTTTTATTTCACAGTTATGTACACTTAAGCTCCATTTTTAGCATGGCCACAAATGTAAGCTACTTTTTTAGGGTGGGTTTTTGTGGTTGTT